GTCAGACGCAGGTGCCCAACAAGCTATGAAAACAGTTCTCTGTGTCCCCAGCTGTCTGGATATTGGAATCGAAGATGAGTTTGGGACCTGTGACTAGATCTTTCTAGATGGACTATTTCACGCAGGGGCCACAAGAACTGACTCGGTAAATGGTAGAGAGGATAGGCCGGGAGGCGACACTGCTCACTGATTTCACTTTTTCACCCACCCGACAAATGCTTGCTGAGTAACTGCTCTACACCAGCAATGCGCTGCTTCCTCTAGGAAGCTGGGGGAGGGAGGCACCTTACCAGGCTTCCAAATACCCTGCCCCTTCTGGGGTAGAAGGTGGTGCCTCACCAGGGCCGGGGGCTGCCGCCCTGGGCTCAAGCAGCCTCACAGGTACGGCTTAGGGTCCTTTATTTTCACTGTCATGTACAAAATAGGCCAATCAGGGGTGTGGAGCAGATTCTCAACTTTTCAAATATATGCCCCTGTTCAAAAGCGGGGAGGAGAGGGAGACAGACGACCTGGTTGGTTTAAATGGAGCAGATCTTTCACCAGCTGGTACCGCCCAGACGTGCGGCCTGTCTCAGGGGGGTTGTCCCCTCCGGTGGGTGCCGATCCGAAGCTGCTCATAACACTCTAGGAAGTAAGATGGGTGCGAAGGCGAAGGGAAGGGGAGGGCTTCCCTCTCACCAGACAGAATTTCCTCTTGGCCTCTGTCCAAAGCACCTGCAGCCCAGTTAGTCTTTTTTTTTAAAATCTTCACCTGAGGATATTTTTTCCATTGCTTTTCAGAGAGAGCGAGAGGGAGGGGGAGAAACATTGATTGGTTGCCTCAGGCACCCGCGCCCATCGGGGCCGGGGATCGAGCCTGCAACCGAGGTAGGTGCCCTTGACTGGAATCAAACCCAGGACCCTTCAGTCTGCGGGCCGGCGCTCTCACCACGGGGCCCACGGGCCAGGGCAGCCCCGTTAGTCTCGATTCTGCGCTGGCTCTTAACTCACTCCCGATCCTCCCGCACCTCAGCGCCAAGGTACTTGGGTGTCCTCGTTTCTTACTTATCCATTCACTGGGCAAACACGTGTGGAAAGACGGGGGGGCTGAGCCGGCAACCCGGGCGTGTGCCCTGCCCGGGAATCGGACCGCGATCTCCCGGCTCACAGGTCGACGCTCAGCGNCGCGATCTCCCGGCTCACGGGTCGACGCTCAGCGGCTGAGCCGCGGCCGGCTGGGCCAGAATTGAATTTCTTAAATAATTAAGCAAACACCCATCACCCCAGCTTTGGCTTCCAGACCTTTCCAGTGAGTGAGGATTTTTGCCCAACCCATCTCACGGGGAGGCGTTTTCAGGTATTTTTCAAGAAAAGAAGCTACATCTTCAAGGAGTCGGGAGTCTTTCGGGAGGAAACCCATCAAATGCGCGGAAATCCTTCAGCTAAAGCATTTGCCTCTTGTTGCTCGTGGTGGCGTGACCTGCCAGCTCCCAGAGACCGCTCCTGTGAGCTGAGAGCAAGATGGCCTTGAAGATGACACCCTGTTGCGTGAGAAGGGGCTGAGGGACCAAGGGTGCCAGTGGCACGGCCCCATTTTGAAGATAACCCTTCACGGAGCCACCAACGCTATAGTTTGGGTAAGAGTGTAAACTGGTACTTTCCCGAGGGTAACTTGTCGGTATGTATCGAAAGCCTGAAAATATTCCTATGTTTGACCCGTCAATTCTGCGTTTAGAGATTTATTCCAGCCGGGCCGGGCGTGGCTCAGCGGTTGAGCGCTGACCTAGGATCCAGGCGATCGGGGTTCGATTCCCGGTCAGGGCACATGCCCGGGTTGCGGGCTCGATCAATGACCCTCTCATCATTGATGTTTCTATCTCTCTCTCTCTCTCTCTCCTTTCCTCTCTCTGAAATCAGTAAAGATATATTTAAAAAAAAAAAAATTAGAGATTTATTCCATAGAAATAACTGAGAGTTATGAAGAGATTTAGGGGAAGCTAGGCAATGGAGATGTCTAGCAGTAGGGGACTAGTTAACTAAATTACAGCACATAGAAAGAATGGAATGGGGAAGTGTTCTATAATCACCAAACACTATCTTAAGGAATTACATTGACTAACAAGGACGATTACTGAGTGGAAAGAGCACGTTACAAAGGACATGTCCCATGTACTCCCATTTAAACACACACAAACGCACACCCTGGCTTGGATCCAGGTTTTGTGGGGTTTCTATGATTCTGAGGACTTCCCTCAAGAAAAGGAATGCAAGACTATGAATACAATTTAGGTTCATGAGTGAATATATAAGGTATCCCCAAAAATGTACACGCACACTTTGAATGATTATAAAGGTGGTGTTTATTAAAATACATTTCATTTTCAAAATTGAGCTATCAGCTGTTAAAGTGTGTATACATTTTTGGGGGATACCCTGTATATTTAGAATGAGAAAAGAAATCGCAGCAAACTATGCATTTTTAAAAAATATATATCTTTATTGATTTCAGAGAGAGGAAGGGAGAGGGAGAGAGAGAGAGACAGAAACATCAATGATGAGAGAGTCATTGATCGGCTGCAGCCTGCAACCCGGGCATGTGCCCTGACCGGGAATCGAACCCCAATCTCCTGGATCCTAGGTCGACGCTCAACAGCTGAGCCACACTTGGCTGAGAAAACTATGCATTTTTTCAAAGCTGAATATACCACAAACATCGCAACAATCCAGAAAGAATTGTTTGAATGCCTGCCTGACACAGATTTTTCTTACAACAGAGGGGCCCTGACACCCAAGCTTCATTAGCATGGAAAAGGTCAGGATGGTGGTGTCCCAAAATGAACACGTAGGACTTGGGTAATTAAAAAAAATTGTCTAACAAAATCATAAGTGTGAACAGCTGATAGACGGTTCTTTCCCGTTATTGTAAAATAAATCTCCCTGACACAGGTTGATAACCCAGCTGCGCCTAATGCGACAAGCTGGGAGTTGGCGCTGAGCGTGTTGTTTGGTGGAGCTTTGCGCTGGGGCTGGAGGGGAGGCAGCGCCAGGCTTCCTTGATCACTGACATTTTGACGTCGCTCCAAATAAGGCGCTGGAGAAGGGCCCTCCTTGTATATGAGGCTCCCGCACAACTTCTGTTTGTGGGCTCTGTGACCCTGGAAAAGCCACCTCGCCTCCCTGAGGCCGAGTTTCCTTATGGAGAACATGAGGACAAGAGTGGGATCTACCCACAGGGCTGAAGGGAGCGCTAAGCATGTTAACACGTGCGAAGAGCTTGAGCAGGGACCTCGGCCTGCACAAGAAGGAACTGAAAGCAGAGGACGGTGCGTAAATGGCCCGATTTCCAAGTGTAAGTTTGGGGCAGAGCTGGAAGAGCGCCCGGGTGTCTGCAGTCTGTGTCCTTTCACTGTCCCTCTAGATGGTGGCAGGATGCGCGGTTCAAGGGTCAGAATCAGCGGCTTCCCCAGGAGGGAGTCCTGGGTCCAGTGATCGGAGAATAAAGCCAAAGGCAGTAGGTGAGAGCTAAGCAGAATTCAACCCAATTCAGATGCTGGTCTTTAGGCCTTCAGGGCCCTGCCACGGTCCGAGCAGCAGCGTGGATGAGTAGAGGCTAGCTGCCGTAACAAACAGTCCTGCCTCGCCAGGGCTGAACACAGCAAGCATGCCTGCCTTGTTCACGCACCGTCTGACGGGTGCTCCTGGCGGGGTCCCCACCTCCCAGAGTGACCAGGGGATCCAGGCTCTGCCATCGTGAGGCTTGGCCACTGGGAGTCCTTCCTTTCTGGAGAGGGGGAGCACAGAGGATCAGATGGACACTCTGGCCGGGCCTGGAAGGGGCCGCAGCAATGCCACTCATGGCCCCTAACTGGAACACATCACATGGTCCCTCCGGATGCATAGAAAGTGTTGTCTGCCTGGGTGCCTGTGATGTGTGTCCATGAGAGTGAAGGGTTTTGGAGAACACGCAATAATGTCTTGGCCTATGTCCCACGTGCCAGACCCAACGACACCACGGGCCGTGGGTACTGTAACTATTATCCCCATCTCACAGATTTGGAGACCAAGGCTCAGAGAATGTAAGTGACTTGCTCATGGTCACAATGCTGGCATTTGGCAGAGCCAGGATTCAAGTCCAAGTCTTACTAACTCAAGGTTTTTTAACCTTGGCCCTATTCATCTGTCAAACCTGACAACCACCTGTTGTAGGGACTGTCCCTGCACTGTAGGATGTTTAGCAACAGCCCTGGCATCTACCCAGGAGATGCCAGTACCAGCTCCCACCCCTCACCATTGTGACAGCCAAAAATGTCTCCACACATTGCCAGAAGTCTCCCTGGGAGGAGGATTCCCTTGTTTGAGAGCCACTGCAAAAAATAAACAAGTGAAAAGTACGTATTGTCTCAGGTGTTAATAAAAGAAATAAACACAAATTGAGCATTGACCCATGAACCAGGAGGTTGCCAGTTTGATTCCCAGTCAGAGCACATGCCCAGGTTTCGGGCTCCATCCCCAGTAGGGGGCGGGCAGGAGGCAGGCAATCTACGACTCTCAATATTGATGTTTCTCTCTCTCCCTCCCTCTTTCTGAAATCAATAAAAACATATTTAAATAAATAAATATGTAAATATGGTGGCCAGGGACGACTTCACCCAGAAGGTAACATCTGAGCAGAGACCTGCACCAGGGGAGGGGCTGAGCTCAGCTGATACCTGAGGGAACAACGTTGCACAGAGAACAGCAAGTGTAAAAGCCCTGGGGCCTCCTCGGCAGGCTCAGGAACAACCAGTGTGGTCAGAGGGCAGCTGGAGAGAGAGCAGGTGCAACTCCGCCGTGACTTGTTCAAGGCCATTTCTAGTCGCAGCGCCAGGGTGTTAGCTGGGTCCGGTTGAAGGAGCCACTTTCTCCTCTCTGCGGGCCTTGTATGGGCTGGGCCTGTGGGCGTTGAGGAGGTGAGGAAGGCAGGGGGTATAAGTATCCGTGGTCTGCTGGCTCCAGACCGTGTCCTGAGTGGAAGCAGCAGGATGGCGGCCCTTCTCCTGGTCCTCGTGGTAGCCTGTGCGCTCTTCGTGGGGGTTTTGCTGTGGGTGGTCTGCAGCCATTTCTTCACTGCGCATATCCCTGCGGCCGTCGACCACCCTGTGAAACTGTGGGTCCTGAGCTGCCTGTTCCAGCTGTTGGTGACATGGGTGAGTTTTGTGTTTCATTTGTCCCCTCACCGGGAGTTGGGAAAACATACCAGAAGCTTCTAGTTGAATTGACACTAATATCCGGCGCCAGAGGCCGACAGTGTATTCTCAAACCTAATAGTTCCTATTAGTTGACCAGTGGTTCTCAGCCTCTTTCCGGGGTTTCTCAAGCTGAACGGGCTGCTAGCCACAGAGTTCAAAGAACGATTCCTGTTCTCAAAAAACCCAAAAAAGAGCCCTGCTCCCCTCCGCAGCCCTGCCCCCGTCTCACCTCAGTCACAGCACTCACTACGCTGTGAAGCATGAAGGTAGGAAGGGGTGGTTCTCAATCTCTGGGGCCCCTTGCTACCTACCCGCTAGCTGGAACTGGCCACGGACAGAATAAACAGACGCGCTAGCAAACTGGTAAATCAGCACAAGTGAACAAGTATGTGTGTGTGTGTGTGTGTGTATGTGTGTATATACATATACACATATATGTACACACATATACGTGCGTGCATGTGCGTGTGTGTGTGTGTGTGTGTAGCCCTAAAAAATGTACATATGCACTTTGAAGAATTATAAGGCAGTGTTTATTAAAATGCATTTAATTTTTAAGTGGCCTCCACACAGGAAAGGTTAGGGACCACTGGAAAGACAGTGCCCAGGGGGAGAGCCCACTTTATTTATTTATTTATTTATTTTTTATTATTTTAAAAATATATCTTTATTGATTTCAGAGAGAGGAAGGGAGAGGGAGACAGAAACATCAATGATGAGAGAGTCATTGATCCGCTGCCTCCTGCACGCCCCCTGCTGGGGATCGAGCCCAAAACCCTGGCATGTGCCCCCGCCGGCAATCGAGCGGAAACCTCTTGGATCCTAGGTCGATGCTCAACCACTGAGCCACGGCAGCCAGGCCACGTTATTTATTTTTATTTTTTATTATGCAAACTTTCAGAGATACGCCAATATCAGAAAGAAGGCCCACCCCCACCCCCCACCCCATGACTTGGGTAACTCCTGGCCAATCTTGCTTCCTGGTGTCCCAAACCTGTCCCTCATTCCCATTTGCTTATGAAGCGGATCCCAGATATTGTATTATTTTATCCAGAAACATTTCCATAGGTATCTCTAAAAGATAAGAGCTTCCCCCTCCCCTTAAAGAAACACACATAACCAGGATGTTAAAAATAGCAAGGAAAGCTGGGAGGGCCACACTGGTTAGAGTGGTCCAGGAGGGGCCCCTGGGAGAGATGTCATGCCCAGGCCGAGCTGGAGCAGGGACCCTGTGGGGTTGGGGGGGTGCGTTCCAGGGAGAGAAACCCTCAGGGGGGGCCAGAAGCATGTGGTGTAGGGCTGGGGTGGGCGGGGTC